TTTAGCTTGTTTTTTTGTTATTTTCAGCAGTCTATTATTCTTCCTCTTTTTATTATTATTATTCCTTCTAGCCGGATTATGACTTAAAGCTAAGTGTGAAAAACTATGGCCGTCTCCATGATGCATTGAGTTTCATCTTTTTGAAGCATTTATTTAACAATAAAGCACAAACTTCAATACCTTCAACAATATATATAAATTTCGCTATTTTCGAGTGCTGGCATGTTTATTTAAAAAGAAATGTTTCATAAACCATTTTGCTACCAAAGAATAAGTTATCGGTAACTTTTTCTGCCAATCAGTGATCATGCAGCCAGGCCTTCAGAGTGGAACATGCATTCGCACATAAATGAAAAATGCGGTATTAAGTCTCCTACTCATTTCTCGACACTACAGGAAAAGAAAAAGAAATTTTTGTCATAACCATGGCGATGTTTCCCGGGCAACAGAAAGGGGAGATCAGCGGTTTCTATTTCCACTACCGAAAAGTGAAAATCATTAGAGCTATTGCAAACGCTTGCCACGCCAATTCCATCACATTGCTATCATGGAGTTACTTCAGTAAGGGCCACGGGAAGTTCGAAGCCGAGCATTTCCTGCGCGCACTAGCCTCCGCCACTGCCAGCAGCGAGTTGGCTCGGAGCACCCCTGCCATACTGCAGCAATAGGTAGCAGCAGCCCCTCATGCGCAGGCCGTGAAAGAAATGAGTGCACGCCTCTAGACCGGCTGTGGCAGATGCACGCTCGCTTGAGTGAGCTTTCCTCAAAATCAGCTGAGGCGGTCAAGGAGCAGCACTGCACCAGACCAGTGGCATGCACAGGCAATGGGCTTACTGCAGTCATTTGTGGAAAAGCCAACATTTCCAGTCCTATTTCTAAAAAACAAGTGTATGCAGGAAATGGCTGGGAAGCCACGGGTGCAGGATGACGAGGGAATATTTTAACTGAATACTGGAGCTACTTAAGCTTAGAGGGACAAAATGAGGCTGGTCACTTATTGAAGAGCCTTTAAACATACTAAATAAAATGCACATTGTTAAAACTGTAGTTTTAGTACTTCCCTCTCTTTGACTTTGTTATCGTGGTCCATGTAGCGACAAGTCACTTTGTTAAAACTTTAAAACTGTAGTTTTAGTACTTCCCTCTCTTTGACTTTGTTATCGTGGTCCATGTAGCGACAAGTCACTGTTTGGAGGGAGGCTCTATTCCTCTCTCCTGGTACTCTAACTCTGCCTTGTCTTTGCTAGGTGTGATCTTTCATTATTTTTTAGTGATAAAAACTAATGTCCTCATTTCATGCATATGAAGCAACACAACAAAAATCCATACAAAAAAAAAAATTAGAGTATTCAGAGTAAACAGCCATGCAGGCACATCTTGTGTGGGAATAGGTAAATTACGTGTAGACTCCAGCTGGTGAGAGGCAAGAAGTATATATACTGCTCGAAAAGTAGGAGCAGCAAGAAAAACAAAACAGTGCACGAAAAACCAGGCAAGCAAGCTGTCAATGGGATGACGTTGAGCTGCACGTCTCGTTAGAGGTCTTTTGCTCAACCATATAGATGAGCGACTATTCGAGTGCTGCAGATATTTATATGTACACTAAATAATCTTACAAAAGACAAAGCTTCTGCAATACAATATTTCCTCTTTCTGCGTTGTATACAACAGCTGTTTTACTGTAGAGATTTCATGAGTATTTCTTCAGTGCACATCTTGTGCCTATTTTACGCTCCTTTTCGCCCTCCAAAGTGCCATTCGTGAAGCATGAACTTGACTTCAAGGAAGGATGCAAGAAAAAATATTATACAATGCTTGAGCCAGCAATCTCTTTTATCATTTTCAGCCATGATGAAAGCATGTGTGAAATGAAAAAGCCTTTAGCCAGTGCACGTGATTACAGAGTTTTGTGTAACACATTATAAGTGATCACTTTCTTGTACCTAATTACATTTTCTTGAAATTTTGTAATATAATTGAGTACATTTTCAAAGCTGTAATGTTCAGGCTAATTCAATCACATGTTCTTGTAAGTGGTTACCGCTAATCATTAAAACTTTTTCTCCTCCAAAATCAAGTTAGCAGTTTTTTACAGGAGTTCTTGTCACAAAAAATACGCGACTGTGCTGTAGGGACCCTTGTTGCAGGCAAGGGGTTCATACAGACCTATTTTTTCATTTTTTTTCCTGACTTTATCTGCAACACCTTACCCGAATGCCAGCAACAGAAGCACGATGCTTCATAGAGGACACGGACTCTAGCATAGAAGCTCTGTGCAACTACACCTCCAGCCAATGCCTCCTTTATTTCTTTCAATGCCAGTGCAAACGCACGCTTTTCAACGGGGGCCGTCGATCCACTTTAGTTCAGGGAGTGATCATTATGCGATGCTGCATGATGGGTAGCACTGCTTGCATCAGATGTGCTATCGAGACATTCCCCGGAGATGTGATGGACGCGTTTCCCTCTTTAATATCTTATATATTTTGCATTTCATCCCTCGTGCTCTTTTTTTTTGGCTTGAAGCAATGCCACCGCCGCATGCCCTGTGTGTGACAGAGCACAGGGCATGCAGCAGCATTGAAATGACGCTTCCCCACTTACGCATTGAGCCACAAATGGCGACACGCTATCTCAGTACACCGTATCTTTTACAGAGCCAGCATGACTGCCAATATTGTAAACACGAGGAATGCAAGATGCCGCCCCACGGATCTGTACACTACTGAACGAAAAAATTACTTCATATGATTTCCGTGGTCAGGTGCATGAAGTGTTCTCTCCTCTATGACCGCAAAGCACACGTGAATTCTAGGCGATGGGCGAGAGCAGGAAAGGGCTAGAGGAGAGGGTGGTAAATGCCTGGATCGGGTGCATCTGGCTGGCATTGATAAAAACAGAGGAGGCGTTGCTCCAGCGAATGAGAGAAACAGGAAGGCAGGGAGGTTAATCAGGTAGCACTCACTTTGATATTCAACATGGGGGTAGGGGGAAGGAAAAAGATAATATAGAAAAAAAAAGAGTGAACAACCTAGTGCTCAGTGTAGCAGCTGACTTCTTAACAAGGGAAGACAGAAGAATCAGTGGCAACAACCTAAAGAAAAAAAAAACTGCTGTTGAAAGCTAACTGCATGAAACACTTTGTCGCAGAAGCTAGTGCCTCCAAGCCTTCATGCAAGCCTCCAGCCTTCTCTTTACCCTGCCAGCCACTTAAATGTGTTCTATCTTGAATAAACTTGTGCTATTATGTCATGGTGATAAAATTTTGAAGGAAAGCAGTGCAAAAGTAGTCGATAAAATGTAATTGCTGTTACATTTCTAGGGCTGTCATTGACCACTGTAATCAATTAAATTTTAAGGTAAGTTGCAATTGTAATTGGCTAATCATTTTTATAATGTGCAGAGGTCTGCATAGTTCTGATAGTATTTGCTTTTTGATTATGCTTACTGAGAAACAGTGCAAAAAAATTACTCTGTTACAAAAAGCAGACACAGCACACACATGTGTCTTGTGTGTGGCAGCAGCATTACACACCTTTGGTCATGGAACATTGAGAACAGCACCCTTAGGAGCATTAATAATGCCCTTTTGATAAATGCACAACTATCATAATGCAATGGAAAGGCAGAGCTATAAATATGAATGGCAGCTCCACAACTGTGAAATCTGAGGAAGTGTGTAGCATCGGCACCCAACTGAGCTGAGTTTTTGAATATCACTAACAAGACTGCAAAAGTGCAATGGAAACCCTACATGCTTACTTCAAGCATCGGTGTTATTGACACTGTAGTAAACAGAGCAGTGGGGACTCTACAATCCTCATGAGATGTAGCAATACAGCAGCTGCGAAGCGTGTGGGCATCCGCTCACTTGGTAAGGCTGTGGCACCCTCTCTTGCGTAGCCCTGTCGCAGGTTTCCAAGATAGTTTGGGTGATTTTCAGCTAATTATTGCCATTATTTTTTGACCATTTGTCATAATTGTATTATTTTATATAATTAATTTTAACCCAGTTTTGAGCATTGCTAGGCTTGTTATGGCCTGTATTGTTTACTGTGAGCGTGATCTGAGCGCATGAGATACATGGATGGATGAAAAGTCGGGCTCTAAAGAGCATCGCTCCTAAAAGCCAACTCCAGCAATTTTTTGATCGTGCCAAAGTAATGTTGCTTTTATGTTCCCAAGGTGCTCTTGTCATTGGCCTGGTAGCAGAAATATTCGGCAAAGTTTGAAATAAATTTAAATAAGCGAAAAAGTGAAACGCCAAAACTGAAACCTAATCGCAGTACTATCTTTGTATTATGTAAACGTTAGTAAAAACGGTTAAAACTGTGCAAACCAGAAACCGTGAAAGACATTCCAGTCTCACCAGCATAGAGTATGAAAGCTGCGAAAGCGGTGAAGTGCAGACGCTCGGGACATCAGCACAGGGGAAAGGCGACCCCACCGCAAGAGCCACACCATGTCTGTTACTGACTGTGCTATGTGCATAAGCTCCTCGGAGCTGTCAAAGAATGGCAGCTGAGGCTCAGATGGCTCAAATTTCTTTTTTCATTATTGTGAATACTCAGTTGGCAAATGGCGACTTACATTGTACGAATGCTATTGTGTTCAGTGTTGATTACTGATATCCCACATCTCATGAAAGAACCAAGACACTGTTAAAGACGAAAATTCAGGGGAATATAGAGGCTCATAGTAATGTGAAATTATCTAGCAAGATTGTGGGAATTGATGTATCTACCAGGGATTTCTCTTATTCAGGCCTTTGTTGGTGCCCTGACAAAGACAAGTCCTGTTGTTGAAACAATGCAGTGATTTCCCATCACGCCTGTTAAAGAAGGCTTCAGCGGAACCGACTTGACACGAACAATAGCCAACGCATTTTAGTGCTGCCATGTCTTGCAAGTATCTAAAAGGCACAACATAATCAATTATATTTTTTCTCATTTTTCTGTGACTACACATGCTTAGTTTGTTCATCGTTTTTATCTTTTCAGCCTCCAGCAGCTGCATGGCTGATGGCGCTGCTGCTGGCATGGGGCCAGCACGGTCATATGCCTTCTTTGTTAGCCTTGTCATCATTTTCATGCTGGTGCTCATTTTCACCAAGCCATCAAAGGAGATTGGTAAGCATAAACCTTCACGTACTAGTTAATGACAGAGGCCGGTCAGCCGTAATACGCTATACAGATGAGGTGAACTTGCTGTGCATTCTTTCGGGTGGCAAGAGAGAACTGGCTCACAAATAAACCATAAAAAAAGAAATTGAAGCAGCTTTGCACTAGTGGTGCCAAGCTTGCGGAAGGTGCGGAGCTAGGCATCTTTCTTTGTTTATTTTTAATTTTTGTCTCCTCTCTTTCTTTTTTTCTCCCTTTTTCATATTGTTTAGTTCTTTTTTTCTCTCTCGTTATTTCCACTTGTACTTTTCCCTCTCTACTTCTTCCTATTTCTTGCTTTTTCTATTTTTCTTTCCATATTTTCCTATCTTTTTTCTATTTTGCACTAGCGTCCTCTTTCTTTTTTATGCGTGGTTTTGCCTTCATTACGACAAGTGCACTAGTTTTTGTATGCTCATGATGATTAGTGATCCACACCTGCCAATTTTTCCGATTGTACGAATGCTATCTCAAATCTCCCGAAAAGTGGCTGTCACAGCAGAGGTGTTTTTATTTTTGTTTTTTTTTTAATCACTTATATGTATATGTGAGCCTTTGCTAATACAAGAGTTGCAGTGCTCCGCTACAGTACTGGCCACTACACTTCTGGTTCACAGGAACCATACCCTAGAGTACCGTGCATCTAGGCAAAGGCCGGTGGTCATGAGACCTGCTCACCCCCGTATACCGGGAGAAAATGAAGGAAAAGATACCATAACTTTTTGCATCTGTCTGCCTTGGCCCCTGCATTTTGTACGCTAGGCCTATGCCTCTTTCCTAGGCGTCACTCGTATTTGTTACGTGGTTGTGCATTTCTCCAAGTTCAATTGGAAGGTCGATGGCGGTGTCAAAAGCAAACAAGTAGTACTTGCAACTGTTTCTGGACTCATACACGAATGAGTTTCTGTGCTTTGTGACTTCGCAGAAAGGTGGTAAGTACAATTTCTATACCAGGTGCACCTGTAATGTAAGCGTTCTGCATGGTGGCAAGGCTGACATATCGCTTCACAGAAACATCAGAAGTACGTTTGTAATGCGGAAGAGCAGGAGAACATCGAAAGTTTCTTCCAAAAGAGCTGCCAAGGCAGTGCCATCTGTACAGAATACCTATTCAAGAGATTTCTTGTGGAACATAACTTGCTTCTCAGTTTAAGTGATCACACAGGACTGTTGTTTAGAAAAATGTTTCCAAAGTGTGAGGACGCGAAACGGTACGGGTGGAAACGTATGAGAACTGCCATCGTTGGAGAAGTGGCTGCAAATGCCGAAAACACTATGGTGGAGGCTCTGAAACACAGTGCTTTCACAATCACACTGAACGGAAGCAACAACAGCGCGTCGCAAATGTCGCTGTCTCAGTAATTTTCGATACGTCCCCCCCCCCCCCCTTCCCACTGTGTTCTCCCGAATTTCCATGCTACTAGGTTGGCAGGTATGGTAATAATCATCAAGGAACTGAAAGGAAAAGAGGAAAAAGACCTCCTTTGCCCGAGCACACGCTCAATATGCTACATGTGGAGCGTTATACCAAGTGACGACGACAACACACCACAGCACTTGAGAGCATGCGATACCCTGGCCTCTTAGAATGCTCCATACTTCAAAGCCTTGGGTAAATACATTAGATTATAGTGGCGATGCATGGCTGGCGTTTCTAAGTGTTTGTAATTTACCCTTGTAGTGTCCCTTGTTGGGCTTGGTGGCGGGTAGTCATCATCGTCGCCGAAATATATACTTTCCACATGGCAAATGCTTTCCCTCCCTTTCCTGATCGCTCCCTCAAAAGGTGGCGCACCGATGTAGCAATCACCTTAACCAAACCAAAGCAAAGTTTTCTGAAATAACATGTCATTCATAGTCAAAACGAAAAAAAGAAAGTCTGAGCGATTTCATCATTCTTACTATCGAAAAATTTTACAGAAGTAATTGGCCCGAGTTATAAAATCACAAATATGGGAAGTGGTGACCTCCTTTTGGAAGTTCGAGACAAGGCACAATACGATAAACTATCCAAAATTGTATAATTTAAAGACGCATCTGTTTCAGTGAGCTCACATAGGTTTATGAATACAGTCCATGGTATAATTTCTGGGGATGACCTTCTCGAGCTGAGCGAAAGCGAACTGCTAGAAGGCTGGCAAGATGAGAATGTTGTAAAAGTACAGAGAATAATGATCAGACGTGATGCGAAGCAAATTCCTACAAAACGCATTATAATTATTTTTAGAATCAGCGATGTACCCGAATCCATTGAAACTGGTTATTGCAAATTCTGTGTCCGACCCTACATACCCGATTCCCACTGTTGTTTGAAGTGTCAGTGCTTCAGACATGGATAGCAAAGTTGCAGAAGGCGCTCTACTTACGCAAAATGCTGATTCATTGAACTTTCGTCCAACAATGGTGCTTCAGCGGCTGATTGCGCTAACTGTAAAAAAGATCATCCTGCTACTCGTGATCCTGCCCCTCGTGGAAGAAGGAAAAGGAAATAATAGAACTGAAAATCAAGTTCAACTTGCCCTTCCAAGAGGCACGTAAGCGTTTCGCACTACGCAACCCATTTTATTCCTCCTTCCCCGATGTGACGCGCCGGGGTGCCGCGCCACACGTTTCGCACCTGCAAATGTCACACAGAGTGTGACCATGGTCATGTAATCAGTGCCCCCGACTGGAGCAGCCTGTACTGCTTTGCCACATGACAAACAGGGCCGGCCGACTCCCGTGTCTGCTGGACTTCAGACCACTGAAAGTGTAGCAAGTCCAAAAGTTCTGTGAAAGTGTCATCCACCACCTCACCAGAGGTGATGAATATAAGTCCCACTTCTCCGGCGTCTCAGGCAACAAAGGAGAGGCACAGCTCTTTGTAGCACGGCAGAAAAGAAAAACTCTGCATTACAGAGCCCCCGAAAAGCTCACTTTTTGTATACACTGCACGACACAACTTTAAAATGACACAAATACTAAAGTGGAACACCAGAAAACTGCTGAGGAACCTCGATGATATCCAGGAACTTTTACACAAATATACACCAAATATGCTGTGTGTGCAAGAAACTCACTTAAAATCGAAATACACCAACTTCTTCCACAATTACATTATTTTTGAAAGGACCGAGATGATGCGGTCGCATCATTCAGTGGTGTTGCCAGTATAGTTAAGCAAGGAGCAGCCTGTACACATTTACCCCTTCAGACATCCCTGGAGGCAGTATCTGTTTGATATGTTATCTTTTACAAACTAGTGACAATTTGCTGTATTTACATACCTCCACACCGTCAACTGAATAAACACGAACTCCAGTCACTTATCGATCAATTTCCAGAACCCTATCCTCTCCTTGGACACTTCACTGCGCATAGCAGTTTATGGGGAGACTCTCGCTGTGATGCACGCGGTCGTCTAATCGAACGATTTCTTTTCTCTTCAGGCGCATGTTTCTTGAATCACGAAACACCAACATATCACAACTTAACTAACAACACATACTCGTCCATTGACTTTAGAATTACATCTCCATCCCTTTTCACGCTACTCAAATAGAAAGTCATCAATAACCCATATAGAAGTGATCATTTTTCTATAGTCCTGAGCACCCAAGTTTCAAATGAATGTCCTCTGCAGATTCCCAAGTGTCTCATCCGAAATGCCGACTGGGAGCAGTTTCAGAAAGGTACTCAACCTGGACTGAGATGAGTATATTAAGCATAGAGGCTACTGTTAACTACATCACTGCTTTTTTTGGTCGACGCTGCCATGAAATGTATTCCACAAACAAGTGGACTGTCGGGCAAACGACGAGTTCTATGGTGGAATAATCAGTGCCGTAATGTGTGGAAAAAACAAAACAAGGCATGGCAGTTTCTTCGAGACTCGCCGACAACTGAGAATCTTGTAAACTTTAGGAGCATTAAGTTCCTGGGCAGGAGAACGCACCAGCAAGCTAGGAGAGGAAGTTGACATGAATTTTTATGAGGCATTAAGGCATTACCTTATATGCACAAAAGGATAATGTATGGAACAGGATGAGAAGAGTAGAAGAAAAAAGCATATCCTCTCCCTCTAGTAAACACACAAAGCGACAGCTTAGAAGACCAGGCGAATCACCTGGGCGCACATTTCAAGCAAGTCTCAAGCTCTTCACACTACTCTCAAGAGTTCCAACGCTATAAGTCAAGAGTGCCAAAATGTGGAAGACCAAATATGCAAAATACGAGGCATATAATCAGCTATTCTACTTAGCTGAGCTACAGGCATCTCCTAATTGCTGCACTGATTCTGCCCCAGAATCTGATTGTGTATTGTATGAAATGTCAGAAAACCTACCTCTTGAAATGCAAAAAACCTTACTTTCCCTGTGCAATGCCATCTGGTTTTCCAGCGTCATTCCTTACAGTTCAAAAGAGGTCATCGTCATTTCTATATTAAAACAAAGCAAGGATTCATCCTTCCTTATTAGTTACAAGCCCATTGCACTGACAAGCTGCCTACGTAAACTTTTTGAAAAGACGATAAATCAATGACTTACACCTTACTTCAAACAAAGGGTCTGCTTGGCCCGTACCAGAGTGGTTTTTGAGAAGATAGATCTACCATTGACCACCTGGTATGTATCCAGGCACAGATCCGAGATGCTTTCATCCACAAGCAATTTTTCCTATCGGTGTTCTTCAATATTCAAAAGGCTCATGACACGGCTTGCCGCTTTGGTATACTATGAGAGCTATCAGATTTAGGTATACGGGGTAGACTGCTGAGCACAATTGAAAGTTACCTCTCCAAACGGACATTCCGTTTTCGAGTAGGCACTGTCTTGTCCTGAAGATTTGTCCAGGAGAAAAGGGTGCCCCAGGGTGGTGTACTGAGCTGTACTCTTTTAAAGACGGTAGTTTTTCTTGGGGTACTTCCACCCAAAAATTTTGGTCTGTCTGTCTGTTCTTTTGTCTGTTTGTCCATCGTAACGATACTCGAAGTAATCAAAATTCAACCCCATTCGCAGCGCCCACCATTATTGATCAAGTTTCAGCATTCATACCTGTGCGATTGTAAATTAAAAAGCAATTATTGCATATTTGAGGCCTATAAGAACAAGTCAATATTCTGTGGTGTGTGTTTTTTTTCTAGAGAAGACATACATACATAAGTAATTCTAAGGACCCTAGCCTTTATCACGCTGCGCGAAGAATGCTACGCTATGCACAAAAAGGCAAGCGTTTCGAACGCTTTGCAAAAACGACACGGCGGTGGCACCCACCCGTCACTGTGTGTTCTACACCTTATCGCTTCTGAGACAGACACGCACGCCACCGTTCGTTTTCGAAGATAATTACCCGATAGCGCTCATGTCTCACGTGCCTCGATACGCTCGTTCGCCTCCGCTGCGCAGATCGAGGCACTCTAACACAGCGCCTCCAGAATACAGTTCACCAATTTCTCGTGCAGAACATCAAATACATAAACGTTTTGTTCACTCTCCCCAAACATAGTTTGCAGTGAAACATGCAGATAGGGGGCAATATTTTTTTATTTGGTGTACCTTGCACGACATATCAACTTTTTATTATCAAAATGAATTCATTGCGCCTCTTCAATCCCAGCAACATGTTTTACTGCACTTATGTGGATGATGTCCAAGTTGGCTTCAAGTCTTGTAACCTGGCAATGTGTAAGTGCAGGTTCAGCAGGGTTTGAACAAGATTTCCAAATGGGCAGATGAAAATGGGTTCCGTCTGAATCTACAAAAAAACATGTGCATCTTATTCCCTAGAAAGAGAGGCATTCAACTCAAACCTGACATTGAACTGAATGGCCAGTGCCTTTCTGTAAACACTGAACATAAATTCTTAGGCCTAATCTTTGACACCAAGCTAACTTTTATACCGCATATAAAGTATTTAAAAAACAAGTGCTTAAAGACTATGAATAATTCAAGTCTTAACACGCTCTACCTGGTGTAGTGACAAAAAGTGTTTGATAAATTTGTATAGAAGCCTCGTACAGACATGCCTAGACTACGGGGCCATAACCAATCAGTCTGTGACACCAAAAACCTTAAAGATGCTTGACCCTGTCCATCACCTAGGCATTCATATTTCCACGGGTTCTTTTCGTACAAGCCCCGTGGGAAGCCTGTATGTTGACTCGAATGATGATCGCTCCATCTGTGAAGATCCTAATAGTCTCTTGTCTACTTCCACAATGTGAATGTGAACCAAGAACACCCCATACACTCCATCATCAATGATTTGTCCAGTTCTGTACTGTTTAACAACCGCCCTGCCATCAGATGGCCCTACCCACTTCGTATAAAGAACCTAGCCGAAGAGACGGGCGTGCAGCATCTTAAACACAGTTTGGCTTCTCCCACTGCATATGTCCCACTTTGGCAGTGACAGCTCGTAGACTGCCATATATCTTTTGAAGAAGTTACCAAGCAAGTGCCCATTGCACATGTCCGCACACTTCCAAGTACTGCAGGAAAAATACTCATTCCCAGAATTCTTTACTGATGCCTCAAAAACTCGCACTTCTGTCTCGTACATAGCAGTCGGTCCATCTTTTTCAGATGCCGGTATTCTGTATCCGAATCCCAATATTTTCACAGCAGAAACTTATACTATACTGGCGGCCTTTAAACACATAAAACAGGTAAAATTACAAAGTGCAGTAATACACACAGATTCTCTGAGCTTGCTGAAAGCCCTCAAAACTCTCAAAAGGCAAAAATACCCCATTCTTGTTTCCTTTTACTCAGCCCTGTGCACAGTGTACGCACTAAGTACACATGTCATAGTCCTCTAGGTGACAGGGCACCGCGACTTACGAGGAAACATTTTAGCGGACAACCTAGCTGCAACCGCTAACGAAACCACTGCCAGTACATCAATACCTATCCCTGCACTTGACCTGAAACCCTACCTTAAAAAAAAAAAAACTCAGATCATTGACAGCAATTATGGGGCAGGCAAACACTGAATAAACATCATCTTATAAGGCCACATCTAGGAAATTGGCCGCTAGTGTCGAGGTCACGCCGCACACTTATCACACTTATCAGATTAAGAATAGGGCATACACACACTACACACTCGCACCTTTTGTCCGGTGCTAATCTACCCTTGTGTGAGAGGTAGAGAACCGCTTACGGTTCTCCACATCCTCATGCAGTGCAATGAGCTAGATGGTCTAAGAAAAAAGCACTCTTTATTACCCTACCGACAGCATCTCCCATTACATCCTGTCATGCTCATTGGTAGGGATCCGCTTTTTAGACTAGAATCACTGTTTACGTTTTTAAACGACATGCATAGCTTTCACCCCATATAGCAAGGTGATTCGTAGCACGACCCCACTACCAAGGTCGCGATGAGATGGCTACATCCTCACCATGGTTTTAATATTATGACATGTCACCTTTCAGTTTCACTGCACATATTTCTCATCAATGTCATGATTTTGATATTTCTATGCTTTTACCCGCGTTAGCGCGAGGAATTTTAGGTTCCCTATATAGCCACATACCATATCATTGCCACATACTATATGATATCTCCTGTCTACTGAAATGGCGCTGTTTGGCCATCAATTGGTCCTTGTGCCATTTAAGCACCACAAATCATCCTGTTCACCGCTGAAGAATCCTACAGGACTGGCTCCTAGTAGCCGAAGTTTTGAAAGCCTTTAGATATTTGGACAACGTATAGATTTTTTTTTTTTTTTGCAGTGTACTTGTACCTTGCAGTTGCATTCTTATTCATAAGAAATTGTTGGAACATTTACAGACCTTTTTTTTTTCCTTAACTTGAAAAATTTTACCCTAGGATTCGCCACAATTTGGTAAAAACGACAATTGCATGCTTATTCAATAAATGGATTTTATTAGAAGCACAAGTGTGCATTCTTCCTCGAGGCTGTTCTGCCGCCATCTTGAATTTTTTTCCGTGACAGAGCAAGGATGAGCTTCCAAACCTTGCCCGATTGTCTTTCACCATAGGAGAGGCACTTGGTTGTTTGTGGCAGCTGCTGTAAGCTTATAGTGTGATAAATTTCTCTTTACCTAAGCGTAGTCATCACTAGCTATATTAGCACAATCTTTTAACGACTATACTCATCAGGGAAAGGTTCAACGGTCTTTTCTATCTCTGGTGTTTTGTTACTGCCTTTGAGTAGTTGTACTAGTAGAGTCATCTGTGCTTATGGCGCGACTGCAGGTGTGCAGGTGGCTGCAACTGCCATGATAGTGCTGCTGGTCATGGCAGGTCGTCAGTGCTGCTACCTGCTCTGTGACCTGCAGCGGCTGCAAGGGAAATCTGCTAGTGGTATCCTGAACGCAGCAGTCGAATGCTTTCAATTGCCAAGGACAACATGGCTGGTGATCCTTACGTGCACCATTCTCTCCTTTCTGGTGAGTACACAGGCTGAAGTACTTAGTAGTGTCACGTAGGTAATGACAAGCTGTAGGGTGCCAAGGAAGACAAAAACAGAGACTTCGTCGGCAATGAACCTAAAGAGAATTTATTGAGTGAAGTAGTGCTCTTGCAGCAAGAAAAAGAATAACATGAGGATATTAGACGATCGCGAGGCCGATTGGTAGGTGCCAGAATGTCTGGGGGGCTTATGCGTGAATATCCCCTATCTTGTGCTTATTTCACATTTGTTCACCAGGTTAGCGAACGACTATGCTTGGTAGTGAGTGAAATGAGTAAGAACAGTGTTGAAGTGAATAAAGAAGACGATAAGACACCTTAATCCCGCTTCCTTCACATGCATGTTACAGTAGGATCCAGTACAATCTATCGATAGGTACTCTTATAAATTGCCCATTACAATTGCACAGTTTCGTTAATTGTAGTACAGAGGAAGAGGAGTGGATGGCAGGCTCATGCTTTTTCTAGACACAGCTGTAATTGGCTGAGAAAAAAATGAACCAAAGGAAGGTGCGAAGCATTTATTTGTAATCTTTGACTCTGCTGTGGTACTACTCGTGACTTAAATAGAAAAGAAGTAAAGTGCATGAGGAACAACACTTGAGGGGTTTTGTTTGTATCTTATTCTGTCCATTGTCATTGTCGTGCCTTGTGTCTAAAAATAAATTAGTTGTGATATCACTGCTTTGAACTAATGGGCAATAGACTGACACGTTCACTTTTAGCCATGCACAAGTGGGGAGATCCAAGCTGTTTGATCCTTTAATGCACCTTGATATAAGAGACACACTAGAGATGTGCACGGCCCAGGCCCAATGCTTACCGGAGGTGGGCCAGCCCGGCCTGATGATGTATCAGGACGGGCTGCCACTGCCTGAGTGCAAGAACATTCACAAATGATTGTACAGAAACAAATCGTCCACAGATTCAGGCCTCAATCGACTGCGTCATTCCTGTGTTATGTATATAAACAGAGTAACAATGCGCGTGCCTTGCGTCAAGGTGCGTGATACCCCTAATATTGTTAATACGTTGCGCATGACTCGAGATAAGTGCCCTCCTTGCCCAGTTTTCTTTTATATTCAATATGTATACACTGAAAAACGAAACATTTATGAAATTTTTGCCTGTTATTTGACTTCTAGTACATATCTGTGCTGTTACCTTAGTCCTCAGTGTTAAAAGCAGTGAATTTCAGCTAATAACCCATATAAGCCCAAACTGAGATAAAATGACAAAAAGTGTACTTCTGAGCTCGTAAGAAGGCACATCCTCCTTATTTCTGGCTTGATTCGGGCTTTTCACTAGGCTGGAGCCCGGCCCAATAAATAAACAAGGAAGCCTGAGCCCAGCCTGGGCTCGAGGTGAGAAGACGCCTGGCTGCTCGGCCCATAGGCCGTGTCGAGCTCGGGCTTTCAGGCTACCCAGAGCCCGTCCACACCTCTGAGACACAAGCCGGGGACGTGATCTTTATGTCATGAACACGATCCTCACTTGCGCTGGGGAGAGCCATTGTTATTTTTACCTATTCATTTCACTCTTTTGCTTTCCTCTGTGTTACAACCTGTTCTGGTCTCCCCTCTCCGTCTCATTGTCTAATCTTCTGGTAGCTGGGGCTAACTGCGTGTGTGGTCTGCAAGTGAAAACAGAACAACGTAAAGCTTGAAAAGTGAAAACACTAATTTTGAACGTCAATGCGATCAACATATATTTTCCTTTTGAATTATATATACACCTTCCTTTTAAATTCAAGGCCAGCATGTAGCATGGCTGTTTTATTTTCAGATATGTTTTATTCTTCTATCAGCTTGGCATCTCTGATGGTGTGAAGACTATTGGTGAGCTGCTCAATGCCCAAATAAGAAAAGAAATAGTGTAACAGGCAAGGCACCGATACAGCATGTATATTGACAGGGTTCGTGCAGATCCTTGAAATTCTGAAAACCATTGAATATGAAGAGCTAGTTTTCAAAGCCTTGAAAGTGCTGGAATTCTCACAAATCCTTGAAAAATCCACGAATTTCCTTTTTTTATCGTAATAAACACTGTCTCACATATCACAGCACAATATTTGAGATGCCGTAAATATAGCACGTGGCTTATGTAATGTGCCCATAACAGAAGAACTGAGAACATCAGTAGCTTCTGTACGGAATGAACACCATGCATTTCTGGAAGCTCAGAAAAGGCTGGAGCAGGAGGATGAACAACAGAAAAACAACTGTTGCTTTGAGGAGCTAACAAAAAAATTGGCAGATCCCACATACAGTGGGAATCGATGATATGCGAAGCACGAATGAGAGAGTTTTAAATGTCACTTTAAAATCAGCACTACGCAATGAGGTGGAGGTAAATGATGCTGTATATGACTTCCGTGTCATGATTATCATGTTTGGATGTATCGTTTACCTTTGTAATCTATTCACGTCACGTGATACCAGATTTAGTATATGTGCAGCTAGTAAAACGGCCACGAGCAAGCTAAGAGCGTGGTATGTTGTCATGTCATTACATGACGAGCGTGTCAGGATTATCATGTTTGCGCCAATCATATATTCCGTCATCTGTTCACGTCACGTAACACCAAATTTTGTATATGTGGAGCTAGCAAAACAGCCGCAAGCGCATCATGAAGGGGCCAATGTACTCCAATGTAGCGTTGACGCACGTGGACGCTGGGCACAGTGACGCTACGTAGCAAAATGTGAGCACTCTATAGTCTGACGCCAGGCGCGACTGGTCCAATCAGCGTCTGTTGGCGCGGCCCGACGGCAACCGGCGCGAAATTCGCCCCGATGCGTTACTTAGACAACACTGCGCCTCCCTCTTTTCGTGACAGAGGGATGCCGGACGTGCTGATACGCGCACGCGTCAAAGCAACGCAGCACGGCGCGCGCCTGCGAGTATATTGCAGAACCGGCGCCTAGCGTGGCAACGCCGGCGTGACGCGACGAAATGAACGCCAGCGAGCACGCGCACCGCGTCACATCGAAATGTATCGGCACCTTGACTGTGGCATGTAGTCATATTCTCACATGACACGCATACCACGATTATCATGTTTGCACCAGTCACATACCTTCATTATTCATTTACATCACGTAATACCAAACTTGTCATATGTGAAGCTAGCGAAATGGCTGCGAGTGCACCATGATTGTGGCATGTAGTCATGTTGTTGCATGACATGCATTTCACGTTTATTCTGTTTGCACCAGTTTCGTACCTTCGTCATTCATTCATGTCCCATAATACTAAATTTGGTATAAGTGAAGCTAGCGAAAAGGCTGCCAGCGCATCATGAGCATGGCGTGTAGTCATAATGTTACATGACACTCATCTCATGATTATCATGTTTGCACCAGTCATATACCTTCGTCATCCATTCACGTGCCGTAATACAAAGTTTGGTATATGTAACACTAGCAAAACGGCCGCGTGTGCATGATAAGAGTGGCATGTAGTCATGTTGTTACACGACACGTAAGTCATGATTTTCATGTTAGGATCTGTCGTTTGTGTTCACCATGCAGTCATGTCATACGATACCAGTTTTGCAACATGTCATGTGAACGAAACCACCGCAAGAACAGCAGGAGCATGATATGTAAGTCATGACATCCATGACATACACATCATTATTTTCAAGTTATGACTAGTCGAATATGTTCTTCATAAAGTCATGTTATGCCATACTAAGTTTGGTATCAATACCACTATCGGAACGGCCAGGAGAGCTAAAAGTCGTAGGCGGCTATATAGATGGACAGATAGATACGCTCAAAGTCGCCGAAGTTTGCTAAGAAATGCTTCTCATTTAAAAAGAAAAAGAAACTAGAATTCCTTGTGTTAAGGTATTAACAGCACTCATATGTGGAAAAGGCAGAGACAATTAGCGACCTGATGTGCATCATAAAGTCAGACAGCTTCAGGAAGACAGCCTAGACCAAGCACCAGAAGATGGTCATACTGATACGAAAATTAAAAAAAAAACCACAGCATATCCACGGAATGAATGATAATGAGTGGTCTGAAGCGCTGAAGGGTTTCATCGTGAAACCATAAACCATCCGCGAATATCACCCTCTACATCATCAAAGATGTGGCAGATACTGTGTGTATTTATACAAGATATTTTATTATTCATAAGTGTAGCTATACATCACTTTCATTTCCCCTTCATTATAATGGCTTTATGGTCAGTGAAGGGGTGAATCGGTTCGGAGGCATAGTGGGATGTTTGCAAGGATGAAGTAGTGGGCAGTTTGCAAAGATGGAACAATAGGCAGTCACGTACATACATACAAGAGATGGACAGACCCACGCCTTCAGGAGCTTCATCTCTAAAAAAGCAACAAGGCATTGTGTAATAACTGTTCCGTAGTTATTCCTATCCGAATAAATTTTTGCAACTTGTGTCATGCTAAAAGTGATTACCCACGCGAATTTAAGAAACTATGATTGAAAGTTGTCTAGAAAGGAAATGTCATTGGGGCCTCGTTTTCAACGTCTTCTCCAGTGATTGAGTAAGCATGCATTTATCATTTTTACCAAATTGTAGTAAATCCTAGTGTATAAATTCACGTGTTAAGGCAAGGAGAAAAAGGTCTGTAAATGTTCCAACAATTTCTTGCGACAGAGAATGCAGCCGCTAGGTACTACACTGCAAAAAAAAATTTTAGACCTTGTGCAAATGTTCAACAGGTTGAACAAATATAACAGAAAGGGGGGGGGGGGGTTTGCTCGGTCATTGGCACATATTCTAAATCTCCCAAAAAAAGGAAATTGGGTGCCTGGTAGAGACTTGTCTTTTTTTCGATAAATTCAAGTTATTTCAAACCTTTATCCTCCCCTAAGCATATTTTAATTCGGTTTCCAAAGGACGGTGAGCTCCTCGAAAATTTGCACACATAACCTTCAAAGTCCTTGAAAACCCTTGAATTTTTGTCATGTAGACAAACATAAGCCCTAAAATTGAGGAATGCAGAAAGAAGCAAGGAAATACTCCAATCGTTTACTAGAGGAGTTTACTCCTTTTCAAGCTTGTAGTACTAGAAGAAGAAAGAAAAACATAGAACTGTTTAGCAAAACCTATGCTAAATTTTTATAATAAAGACTTAATGCAGTTGCACCTATATGTAACGAACTCGAAAGTGCTGCGATAAATGGTTGTCATATCTATGGAGTCGCCCATAAAAATGTCCACTTAGTGGCCGAATAATTTTTTTTCTGAATATTTTTATTCAAGAGTGTGAACAACCCCTCCACTGTCAAGTTAGGCCTTCTCGCATGTTAAACGACCTCCATTTGTTCCAGAGTGAATTCAACATTCGCTATGAACTTATGCCGTTCCACTAAAGCGCGGCCCCGCTACATACCCCTGGCTAGTTGCGTGCAGTACGTCGCTTACTCGGCCTTCATTGTCGCATGCCAGATCGCTAGCAGTATATGTGCGTGCGCTTGTGCTTTCTTCATGCATGCTTCACTCGGGATGGTGCTCGGGTGCGATCAATGCATGCAAGTGGCTTCGAACGATGCAGCGGTGGCGGACTTGCGAACAGCAGCATGACTTGCTTGCACTGGCGTCACTCCGCCGAGTGTGCAGCATCTGCAGATGACCGCACTAAGGTTGCCGGTGATTAGTCAAAGTGTCACATTCATCGCCACTCCCATCTCGCCATCGTTCTTTTCTGATGCTTACCTGTTAAGGCACCGCCGCAACCGTTTGGAAGTTGTTATCACTAATTGACCGATCTCTTCCGCTACCGAAAGGTGGAATATCTTTCGTGGCACATTGTGGTGCCAGAGAATTGAGCGTTGCAGTGAGAGTCATGACTTCTTGCATTTATGGCTTCTTGCATTCAAAGCCACGGTTGGTGAACCGCTGGCGGTCATAGGTGCCAAGAATAGTGTCAGAAAAGTTTGCTGTGCGGAAGCTGATCGCAAGTCTTCATGCTGCCTTCTATTTCTTTTTGTTTTTTTTCCCCTCACTTCTGTGCCGGTGAAGAGAAGTCTGGCAAGTGAAGGACCTAGCTCGCAACATACGAAGTCTACGTGCGGTGGAAGATATTGGTCTAGGATAGCTTCGTCGCAGGTAAACAGCAGCGGGGCGCACGTGAACGAGTGACTATTCCAAGCTTTAGAATGTCTGTTTCAACACTTTTCATTTACGCTTCGTACACACCATATTTTGTACCCCAAGCGCGTTGGAAGTGTTCGATATAAAAGTAGGAAACTTTAACAAATGTTCACTGTATGTGGACTCAGTTGCAAAGAGTAGCATAGGAAAACTGTAAGTGCACCGAAATATCATTGTTATAACCGAGAGATCGTTATATCTGGGACAATATAAGTGGATCAGGCTGTACAAACCCAGATAACACATGTACCAGGTGCGTCTGCAAGCAACGGTCACGTGCCGTTGAAAAATGAAAGAACAGGCTGTTTTTGTATGAGATAGGAGAGAATTAGTGCCCCAAAAACGTTCCTGCAGCATGCAAAGCAGGCTCACGTGTACCATATCTCCCATCTCCTTCGTCATAGACTGTCTATGAAGATCCCAACGAGCTGTCAGCCACACTCAAGAGACAGGGCCATGTGCATTTCCTGGTGGCCTTTATCACTATGCTCTGCGCCTGGGTGAGTGCTTCTCAAATTTCCTGTCTTTTCCATACCAAAGTCGAACAATGATAGAGCTCTTATGAAACTGGTGTTTGATAGGAGTGTTTTGCTAGTACGAAAGGCAACATATATTCATGTTTGTTTTATTTCGATGCAGAATCAATGGTGTGCATCTGATTGAGGTTTGTACAGTTGTATGTGAGAATAATAATGACTGAAAGCGAGTCACAGAAATATAGGCTGCTTTTATGACTTGCCCATGTCAAGTGCAAGTTTCATGTTGAGTAGGACTTTGGAAATGTCATTGTTTATTTATGCTTCCTTATTCCACATCATGCATGTAATCTGACAAAGATTCTATATTATTGAGGTTATATTTGATAGGCCAATTTGCAAACTAAATGTGCATTTGCAGTGGAAGTGCCTCGGGTGTTTTGATAACCCTTTTTCTGCCGAAAACGAGCTGAGCTCGTCCACTCTGTTTGTACCAATCCTACTGAACACGAGCTAGGCTTGTCTACTCTGAAACAAGCATTTGGGGGTGTTGCAGCTGACATACCATGATCCACCTTGCTGCTGTTTTCTCTTTGACTTGAAGAGATGACCCAATAGAAAAATTTAAAACACTCAAAGCATGCAATATTTTGATCTAAAAAAGACTCAAAATGGAATTGTCATTCCACAATAGGCCTCCCAACCTCAGTCAGGCGCGCGATCTTCACCACCTTTTTAGCAAAAACCAATTGCTCATCACCCCGCTCCCGCCTTCGGACTGTGCTCTCTCAGCACATTCAAGCGCTCTGTACGTACTGTTCTCTGGTAACCATATATGTGCAGCCTCACCTGTGACTCACTCCGAATGTTTAAAAAGATTTTTGAGGTATAGAAAAACGCTTTCAGTATTGCAATGTTACCAGATCCGAGAGTGATTCGTTGACAACATTTGCAGAACCCAGCAATTATGTCGTCAAAGACAGTGCGTCTGAGCAAGTGCTATGTGCGTGTCGATGGTGAACAGTCTGACATTCAAAGTTGGGTAATGGTGCAAAACCTAAATGTATGCTACCGGTAAAACATGTCTTCACTGCAGTTGTCATGTCTTGTCGTAGTTGTCGACAAACTACTGCCACGCTTTTGTATGCATTTGTTTATACAGGAGCGCTCGGATTTCGATTGCTTAGATGCCAAGTTTGTTTTGCGGCTTTAAATTTATTAGGAGGTCAGTGCAAAAAGCCTAAACCTATGTCTGCCCTGTTGAGCCGCTGGCACCATTGCAATGTGCAGTGTTCAGTTTCATAAGAGTTTCGCTTTTGCCAAGGTTTCCGTCAGATAATAACAGCGTTATACCTTAAGTTCACTGCCGCCTTGGAATGGTTTTACAGGCCCCTTTAAAAGCATAATGATGTGCAAGAAAAAATTATTGTATGCCTACTTCGACTATGCATGTTTTCTGCAGCACATGTTTTATTTCGGGTAATATCCATGCCTGACCACGCAGCATGTTTGCTGATTCGAATGTTGCTTTGGTTGTTTTGACAGTTCGTTTGGCCTTCATCATTCTATACAATACCAACTAGAATCGAGCATATTTAACGTTAAGCCAAGATTTGCCCCCGATAACTACGCCGGATTTCGCAAAGCTACCGAATATTTTATTGCCACCTTGGCTCTTTTTTTAGCTCGTTTTGAAAGTGGCAGCTGTATATTGCCCACGGCTCGGGTGCATGTAAGAATGTATTTTACGTGCCAAAATCATGGTATCATTAAGAGGCGTATCGTGGTGTGAAACTTTATAATAATTCTGACCACCTAGGGTTTTTTAATGTACACCTAAATATATTTCAAGTGTAAGGCGCGAAGACAATGGCCAGAGGGTGCGCACACACTGAGTGTCACTTCTGTTCACATTGAGCGTCATCCCACGTTACGCTTCAAATATGCTAAACCAACACACCGCCCTCTGTGCCATTCTTACACTTGATCTAAGCCCACCAGTGTTCTTACATGTCGCTGCCATGGAAATTCAGCTACCGTATGTAGGAACCGAACTAACGACTTCGATCCTAGCATCGCAACACTTCAGCCTGTTAACTAATCGGTGGGTGTTGCTTTCAAAATCTATATGTATAAGCGGTCAGCGCGAACACGCAGTTTAAATCTATATTTGCACTGAGCAGCGACGAGAAGTCTACCGCTATCAGCTGAATAACACACTTGCAAGGCTCACAGTACGGTATTCTAATCATGGTGAATTAAGCTAACAAGCTCTGCTACTGTTGCATTAGGAATGGTTACTTCAGAAAGCCAATGTGCTATCTCGAAATGTACAGTAGTTTTTTATTTGCTGTAGCTTCAGTTTGCAATAGCACTTTCTTTTTATATGAGCCTGGCCATCACATTTCTTTCATTTATTAGTTAGTAATACTTCACACATTGAAAAATTCTCCAAAGTGACAAGACCATGGAAAGTATCAGCAAACTGCCATAATCCACTCTTGTCGCCTTTGCTCCTTGCACTGTAGAACTTGACGGGCAGTTTTCAGCTCTTTGTCATTTTTAAACTTTTGTAGCAGCTCCCAATGCAGCAGAAGTGCATGCTTGCTTTCTAGGATGACGAAAAAGTGGTGCCCATAGCGTGCGAAATGCAAGATAAAAGCCTCAAAAAACATGCTTTTCGTGCGCGCAATCGGCAATGCAAGCAAGTGGGGCCCATACAAGCGACTGCAGGTTTCTTCTTTTCACTATAGGGCAGCATACGGCACTGCGTAATTTCGAGCCTGTCTTCCCCATAGCACGCGCATGCCAGAAATAGCTTCAATAAAAACAAGTGCTTATTTGGCAAGCTTAATTAAATGAAACAAAATTAGAATTTTCCTGCGATTGTGGCAGCGACTACACAAAGCAGCATATTTTCTCTAAATCACCGGATGCAGAAGATGACTGTGTATCAGTATATTGGCAGCGGACGCTGTTAGATGCAACCATGCCTTCAAGGTCACTTCTAGGGTTCGTTTTTATGGATACGTTGAAGGGGGTCTGTCCTATGTATGGCTGACATAGAAGCCTAGGTAATGTTCTAGCTGCACACAGTTGTACCGTGCACAATTAAGGTCTCCTTTCTGTAGGTCAACAAAACAACACTTTATTGCTTTGTTAGCAATAACGCGTAAATGTCGCATAGAGGGACTTCTGCTCTAGGCAGATAACAAAGGGTAGACGCTTACGCCTTAGTCGTGGACGTCCTTGGCTTGCAGTAAGTTCCGGGGGGTCGTCCATTCTGCATGGTCGCCGATGGCAGAAAGAGCGTCCAGCCGTCGGCAAGCTCATTTTATCCACTGTCCTGGTTTCCCCCTCCCTGAGGAGGGTTTGTTCCTTTACTGAGAGAGGAAAACTCGTTCTGTGAGTTGGGAAAGGGGAAAAATGCGCGCTGGCTGCGATGTGACCAGTCCCTTCGGAAGAGGCTTTCATTGACTCATTTCTCAAAGCTACAGACATCTCGTCGCAGTTAGGCTGCCGTGCTGCTGTAAAAAGGAAAGGGTCGCTGAATGCATGTGCTCCCCCACAATGCTTATCTCTGAAATATGTTGGATAACATAACTTTAATGTTTCCGCACCGTTTTCTTGCTTCTTTTGGGCGAGAGTGTTCTTATCGCCGGCGCCCGTGTTTGGAGGCATCGCTGCGACGCGCAGGTGCAGAAGTGGTCCCGACCTGTTTCGCCACCCCCCCCCCAAACACACACACACAGATAGGAGCCGTCAGGGTTGAAGACGTTTGGGGACCCGCACCTGGCGTCCAAGGCGGGTGGTGTAGGGTGTGAGCCTAGGCGTTGCGCGCTGTTGTCGGCGAATTACGGGAGGCGTGCGGGGGTTGGTAGGCTCCTGGGAAAGGATGTATGATTGCTTTAGGCGGTCGTTGGAAACGCGTACATTCTTTCCACTGATTTGCAGGGTGAATGTTTTGTCGTCACGACAGATGACTTTGTAAGGTCCGGAGTAAGGCGCCTGGAAAGGTGCGCGTACGGTGTCGTCGCGGAGGAAGGCATGCGAGCATGTTGCCAGGTACTTAAACACGAACAGGGTCGGCTTGGTGTGGCGAGCCGCTGGTGAGGGGCGCAGCGTGGCCATTGTGCAATGGAGTCGAGCGACGAAGTCTGCAGGGTCTAAACTGGTTATGGTTACATCAGAGGCCGGAGCGGAGAGGAGTTCTCCAGGTAGGCGAAGCGGCTCCCCGTAGACGAGTTCCGCGGGCGTGGCTTGAATGTCTGGCTTGAAAGTTGCGCGCAGACTGAGAGCGACGGCGGGGAGGGCTTTCAGCCAGGTTGAGTGAGGGTGGCACATGATGGCTGCCTTGAACTGCCGGTGAAACTGTTCAATCATCCCGTTGGCGCAAGGGTGGTAGCTAGTTGTCCGTGAACGCTCGAACCCGGTGGAGAGGCCGAGGAGCCTGAAGAGTTGAGATTCGAATTGCCTTCCTTGATCGGTGGTGACTCGACGAGGAGTGCCAAAGCGTGAAACCCAGCCGGAGAAGAAGGCTGATGCGACGTCTTCTGCGGTGATCCTTTCGAGTGGCCACACCTCGGGCCAACGAGTGTAACGATCGATGGAGGTGAGGCAATAGCGGTAAAGGCTGGTTGGTGGGAGGGGGCCGATGAAGTCGATGTGGACGTGCTGGAACCGTTCCGTCGGGAGGGGGAATTCTCCGAGTAGCAACAGTGACATGCCGTGTGATTTTAGCGCGCTGGCATTGAATGCATGTGCGTGCCCAGGTGCAGCAGTCCCGTTGCATTGAGGGCCACGCGTACCGATCAGTCATGAGGCGTGTAGAAGCTCGAATGCCGGGATGACTGAGATTGTGTAACCGGTTGAAGAGGCTTTGGCGATGCAAAGAAGGGATGTATGGTCTCACTCGTCCTATTCATATTGCTACGGTATGAGCCGGGCTGTAGTATGTTCCGGGTAGATAGAAGAGCAAGACGACGTTGTCTGGTGCGGCCTGAGGACTCCATCTTTATCGCGAC